TCTCGCACGCCTCGTCTGCAAGTGAGGTAGTAAGAGGCCCTCACGCTAGGGGGCGTCTATGCATGTGTGCTGTTGAGCAGGCCCCGACGAATTCCATCGGCGTCACCGAGAGCTCGCCCGACGAAGCGCGGTGGCTGGCGAATCGCACCGAAGTGTATGCCTGTACTCTCTGTGGGACGGTCGTCCGCTTCCCGCGCTACAATCACGGTACGTACGAGCACACGGACGCCAAGGTGGGACGAACTTAGTACTAAGTTTAATTAAACAATAGCTGATAAGCTTCTGGAGACGCGCCGAGGGCGCTGCGGCGAGTGGGCTCAATGCTTCGCGCTGTGCTGCCGGGCCATGGGCTACCCTACGCGCATGGTCATCGACTGGACCGACCACGTGTGGGTCGAAGTACGCCTCCTCCACGTGCACGGCCAACGCTCTAAGCTCAAAGATGGCTCGTGGCCGGTGTCTGACAGGTGTATTCGCACAACCAAGAGAGATGGGTGCACGCCGACCCCTGCGAGTCTGCATACGACAAGTAAGTTGTGACTCTCTCTCTCTCTCTTTCGCGCATGCTTGTGTACGAGTACACGCGACGTTTGTTGCTCATGGGCGATACTCGTGGGCAGACCTTTGCTGTATGAGGCCGGCTGGGGAAAGAAGCTGAGCTACGTGGTGGCCATCTCCAAGGACGAGGCCATCGACGTCATCCACCGCTACACGCGCCAATGGGACCAAGTCCTGTCGCGCAGAACGCTGGTATGTCTTGCATTCCATTCATTCCCTCGCTAAGCTGTACTCTCACGACCCATTGCCGCGTGCCACCTACAGGTGCCTGAGGACGTGTTTGCTCAGGTCGTGGACTGGTTAGACAGGCAACTCAGACAACGCGCGCAGTTGGACACCGCCGCAACAGCGGTACATCACGCACGCACGCACGCACGCACAATTCTGTTTTGGTTCGTCTCATGCGGATGTCTCATGTTTAGGACTGGACGGGCAGAAGGGGCCCGTCTGAATCACAGGAGCTCGCGAACAGTCAGCGGGAGCGCGAGGTGAGCGCTGAAGAAG